TTATAAATTAATTAATGAAACATATATTTTATTAATTAAATATATTAAAGTCACAATTCCACATAATTTGATCACAAATTTTATATAATTGGTCACATATTATTAATTTGTCACAAATCACAAATTTTACATATCACAATTCAAAATTTTTATAGGTCACAATATGTTCATCGGTCAAAAATAAAAAAATTTATAAGTCACAAATTATTTTATGGTTAAAATTCAGAAATTTTTATAAGTCACAATTTATTCATCAATCAAAAATAAAAAAATTTAGACATCACACAACTTTTTCATCGGTCACAAATCACAAATATTATAAGTCACAACTTAGTAGACAGTCACAAATTGTCAAATTATCAATTACAAATTAACAATTTTTTAAGTCACGTATTATTTCTTGATCACAATTTATATTTTTCATTGGTCACATATTATTTATCGATCACAAATTATAAATTTAATGGTCACAAACGACCAAATAATTTGTGACTACCACCAACACAGTAACACTTGTGACCATCACCTCACCACCGTCACCAACAAATGACAACCGAATCCTCGTCGCCGAAACCCCCACAACCCAAAAAAGTCCCTAACTTGTCGTCGGAACCCCCACCCCCACACTTGTGGTTTAGTTGGTGGTTGTGGTGACGAGGTGGACTCGCCAACAACTTCAACACCACGTCGGCACTGCTACCACCTCACAAAAAGGCCAGCATTGCTACCACTCAAAACCACAAAAAACACTGGCGAGACCCCCAAAGCTCCGTCGAAGTAGATCAGTGGAAGAAACCCAACACCCAAAAAAATCCCTGCTGCACCCAACCTCCACTAATCGCACCACCACCACCACTAGCATCATCACAACACACACCACCGCAAGCATTCAGCGGTGCTGCTGCTCTGTGTTTCTGCTACTCCGTGAATGAGAGGAGTGAGGATAGAGAATACGGGGGATGACGCCATCGCTCGTTGCTATGGTTGCGAAGGCGGCGTTTTTTGTGTTGCCTCCAATGGTAACAGAGAGAAGAGAGTGAGAAGACGGAGAGAAGAGAGTGAGAGGAGAGAAGACGGAGAGGCGAGAGAAGAGGAGGAAAATGTTTGCCAATTTGGAATGAAATT